ATACGAGGCGGCGGTTGCCAGCCTTTATTAGGGGACGGGATTCTTGGCTCGGGGTCTCCGCTCTGGTAAGCTTATGCTCTCCTCTCAAGATGCATTAAAGCTTTACTGCAGAAGGATCCGAATGTCCTGTGTGGTTCTTGCCGGCAAGACTATCGCGAGGGACACAAGGCACAAACAGAATCCATGGAGTCAGAGTACTATGACATTTTTATCTGATTGTTTTAAGGGAAAAAACATGTACACTCTTGATTGATGGGGAAGTACTTCTGTGTATATTTATCTTATTGATTGTTAAATAAAATACTGTTTGGCCAATGAAATGGCAAGTTAGGCAGGACTAGGAGTCAAAGAGGATTCTGGGAAATGTAGTAGAGAAGTGTGATCCAGGCAGGAAATGACATAGCAAGGAGACTCATATATAAGCAAAGGAGAAACAGGAAGCACCCCCTTTTTTCCCCTCCTGCTGCAGCGGCAAGATGTGATCCCAGTAAGGAGGGATGCCAATAAGGTGTCTGATAAAATAAGTCTTATAAAATATATAGGTTTATAATAGTTAAGACTGAGTTAGCAGGTGAGAAGTCCTAGTCATTGGCCAAACAGCTTTGTACCTTATACAAATTTTTGTGTATTCATTTGGGCCTAACTTGGGCAGGCGGCTGGCATAAAGCTTACACGTGGCGGTGGGGCTCAGCTGCTTTTGGCAGAAAGATTTATCGTAACAGAATGGTGTCAGAAGTCGGATGACTCCCTGTCTCAAGGTTCCCAGAGAAAGAGGTAAACCTGCCGCCACAGCCTGCCCTGTTGGGCCACTGAGCGGCATGGGAGCAGCTTCCATTTGCTCGCGCCATCCAGGTGCTTCTGGAATTTAGACTCGGCACTTCTAAGATGATAAAGACAGATCCAGATAAAGAAAAACCTCTAAAGGTTTACACTTTTAAAAATATATGTAAGGTTGTGAGAGAAAAAATAACAGGAGGAAATAGAATAGCCTGTTATGGAGGCCAATGCCGGTAGGATTTGCTAAAGGAAGCAGAGACAGGCAGATTTCCACAGAGAAACCATCTCAGAAAAAAAAGAAACAAAAGAAAGTAAAAGTAGAATAGTAAAAAAGCCACCTAGAGATGAAAAATACACAGAGAATCTGGATACTAAATGCCATACTGTTGTCTTTTAATTGTTTGATTGCTGAGGAAAAAATTACTGCTACTAAAATACATTTGATTATAAATGCTGCTAAATTGATCCAACTTATACATTTTAAAAATGCTTGACTTCAAAATTTAAGTCTAAGAAAGGCTACTTAGAAATAAAGGTTTTGCTTATATTTCCACAGAAAATAAAAAGCTGTAGATTCCTTCCAGACTAATATGGTTTGATCAAACAAGACCCCCTAAAGCTGAGATGACACAGCCTTACAAACTACAAAAACAAGATCTTGGTCAGGTTTCTATGTTTTATCATGATCCCTATGGTAAATGAACATCGTCCCCAATCAACAGAAAGACGTTTAAAAGGAACGACGCCCAAATCCCCAAATATTGTTTATAAATATTTGTTTTCATTTAAAT